ACCTCATCGGATGATTTTTTTAAGCATATTTTAATTTCTTTAGTCTACCCGATGTTGTAGTTTTCATGTACAGTTATACAAGTCTTCCTCTAAATGTCACACATAAGTACTTAATCTTAATTTACATGGTTTTTGTTATCCTCAGCCATCCCCTCTTGAGAATTGTTAATGGTAACACAAAATGAATTGGTCATAAAACAACATTTTCTTAGAGTACAATGACTAGATGTTAGAAACTTAATTCATTTTATCACAGCTGGTATGAAATGTCCCCTTGGTAAGTACTAATCCACACTAGGGTGGTAAAAAGTTCACATAAGACATTCTATTCTTTTTCGAAAAAGACAGATATGAAATGACCAAAATGACAAATGGCGAAGATGTGGAATGACCTGCCCCTACACCTAACCTGCAAAGATAGTTTAGAGTGTGACTGTCCAGTTTTACCCAAGTCATGCTGTGACCTTCAGGTCAAACTTACTTTCCTCTTAAACTGCCTTCAGTTTGCAGGTTGCCAAGATTGCCGTGGAAATGCTTCTTTCTCAATGAAACACTGAATCATCTTACATGGTGAGAGTAAAAGTCTTCCTCGGTCGCAATTGTGGTTTAAGGCCAAATAATATAATTCAAACTACTCGGCTATTGTCGAGTTTAGTTGTAAAAAGAAAGTGAACCGTGTAAGCTGAAGCACAGTCAGAGTCCCCATTAGCTGCATATTTTGGCCACAAATGGATTATGCTCTGACAAGATAACTGTTGCATGATTTTAACAATTGTTTTGCCTTTCAATCATACCAGATATTTCCTTTCTTTTTTTGTGCGAGTTAAAACATATAGTTGCAGCCAAAGGCAACTGAAACCTCTCTGAAGATGAGCTTTGTAACCTAAGGAGTCTCCAAGGTGTTGACATTTGTCTGGATTATGGAGGATGTGTTGAAATCTTTTCTCGTAAGAATTGCTGAATCTAATTATTTGGCTAGTTTAATATTATTGACTGGACAAGATCCCAGAACTGCTTTGTGACTACCTCCCTTGATTGCTCAGAGATGTAACAGCGGTGGGTTAACTTTGACCTCCCCCCAGTCAGTATCGGTCATTGCGTAACATGCACAGATGTGTGCAGAACACGTCTAATTCCTGCCTTGAAAATGTTCTCCTGAAGTGGCTTCAGGTCTGAAAGCTGTTGGGGCTGGACAATGGTTGTTATTTCCATTTGTATGTTTTGAGCATTTGGCCAATAAAAGATATGTACTGAAAACTTAATGCAGTAAGCTTTAGGAAATGATACACTAAGCATGACAAGGGCTAATTTGTTGAAAGTTGGCTTGGTCTTTGAGGCGCAAAAACAGCTGTGTATTAGAATAGAATAGAAATGTCATTTTTGTCCCACAAAAATTGCAATTGCAGTGCTAGTTGTGTTAACTTCTAATGTAACATACTAAAGACATATTAAGAACATCTGCCATATTAACATATGGTTTTGATGTTGCCTGTGTTACTGAAATAGATCACAACAGAAGTTTTATTGTTGCTGTGTTTTTATTATATTTATTGAACAAGAGTTTGAATCATCTAATGTCTGTACCAGATGACAAAAACTTCATAGGGAAAAGATCAGACAGCTGGCAAAATACTGATTGATGCATCTCTAGTTTTTCCTCTAGAAAAAAAACAAAACAAAACAATTTAAGCATGAAAATGTAAACCTGAGAAAACATAGCTCTCATTATGTGGTTGGAGTGACCTTAAAAGAGATCGGTTTCCGCGTTAAGTTCAATTTTTTTTCCGCATTGGAGCAAATCTAACCGCTTATGAGCAGCACCAAACAAAGCAAGGACAGCCCACATCCTAAATTGCTCCTCACATTTTAGACTGCCCCCAATTGGTTGTATCATGGAATTACATTTTGTTTGCAGCTGTGACCACTGAGCACACACACAAATATTTCACAGGGCCATTCTTTTTGCCCAGTGTTTCTGCAGAGAAGGGGTGGCCATTGTAAAGTAATTGCCATAAAAGTGCAATAAACCTCCCAATGAGCCCTATAGTCCCAGCAGGCATTCTCATCATTGACCCATTAGGTGTTTTGTCAGTTCTGGCTATTGTATTTCCATTCTGAGGGGGCCTTTATGTTAAGCAATATTAATACTATTATGAATATAGGGGTTTTATTTAGTCTTGTGAAATCTTGTGACATCATATGCCCCTGCATAGAAGTAATTCTCATTACTGACTAAAAACAGGAGTCAATTTATTAGTTTGTCCTAGCTTTTAATCGATTGGTATTTAAAAATTTGTTGTTTTGAATTAATTTAAGGTCCTTAATGCATAGTTTTCTTACTCTGTAATCGATGCCAATTCTGTGCCTGTCTTAGTTGACTGAATACAGTGAAGCTGCTTGATATTTTGAAGTTGTATGGCTTAGGATTTCTTTACCTGCTGTGTCTCTCACAATTCATATTGCTATAGCAACCCAAGCTTATGAGGATTATGTCTAATTCAGGCCATTCAGGTTGTCTGCCTTATGCCCAATGCTCTTGATATTTAGTCAGACTGAAATGTTAATCCTTATCAACTTTATAACTACACCTCTTGTCAGTAACAACTTTGTAAAAGTAATTCTTAATTCTTCCCCATGCTTTGTTGTCATAACAAGTTTCACTGCCATTAAAATAACAAATTTGGACACTTTAAGATCATTTGAAGAAACAAACAGCAAAGGGATATAATCTTGCCTCAAACATATTTTAAAAGGGGTAACAACAGTTTCATGAATCTGAAACTATTGAAAGGATCTTTGCTTAGTGTAGCATTAGCATGTGCCAGTAAGAGTTTTTATTGGCATGATAACCTTCAATAAAAATATTATAGTACCACAGTATTTGCATAGAAAATAAAATAGGTGTAATGTGAAAAGCTTACTTTTATCAAACCCGTTACCCCTACTACTGTTAAGATAACATCATACATTATTACAGTTATAGTAATGTAGTTATACATTTTATGTTGAAACAAAGGAAAACAAACACTAGTTAATTTTATTGTAGATTTCAAGTAAGCTTAAATATTCTTGATAAAGTAAAAGTACAACAGTGAGATAATATCTGGTTATTAGCTGGACTAATCGGGTCGGATAGCAAGACTGCAACATGCCAACCGGATGTCTTAAAACAATGTTAACTTCTTTTAAGTAATGGTCCTCTGCTTCCAAGTTCTTACAGCCATATGATGGAACATTTTTGTGGTTCTTGTAACTTTTTAAAACTCTGGTGTTCTTTGATACTGGTAACTTAAATGGCCAATGTGTTACATAACAGCATCTGATTCAGGTTTGATTATGAAAGCATGCTGGATTTAGAACTATAAAAGATCGCATACAGTCCAGAGTTATTTAATAATAATGAAATAATCTTTAGAGTTGGTACCGGTAGTGTGCTGTCAAGCAAACTCTACTGTTTTGTAAATTTTTTTGTGCCCTTAACAGCTGATATTAGTCCAGTTGTGGTGTTACCACAAAACATTTGTCTCGTCTCCCTCTCCCTCTTTTCTATATTGCATATCCAAAAATTCTTGCTGAAAAACAATCAAGACTTGGTGCAAACTTTTAAAATGCTTTTGTATTCATATCGCAAAGGACGTCTAAAACTCAAGTGTCATGAACTTGCCTTTTTATTTTCTGCTGATGCAATATTTAGCGAGTTGGGCAGTTGTAACGGCAGCCGGTGCTCACACCAGACACAAATAACGCCGCCAAAAATACCAAAAGTCAGGGTGATGGCAGCATAGATGAGAACAAGGGGAAAGTAGACATATGTTGCACCTGATATTGTCATGGCAGTGGTTGTGCAATGGGTGGTGTCATCATGCATTCATCTGATAGAGGGATTATTTGCTGCTGTCCTGCACTGATGGGACCTGAGCCCCTTCAGGCTGCCTGTTGATTGCATCTCCAGCTGTATGTTATGTAGCTGCAGCCGCCGCTTTAGCTTTGATGTGGCCAGCCTTCCCTATTCCCTTGTGTGAGCTAACTAACTAAAGAAGCAGCACTCACTCTAGTTAGAACAATAACTGATGCTTTTTTTTTTTTTTTTTTAAATTTCATTTTAAGTTTTGGAAATTGACTACTGTGGATGTTTCAGCTCTGACGCTGTGTCTTTTATAAGCTTTTATCTACTGTTATCCTTCACATGGTTTTCATAGCGCAGTCAAGGTTCACTCCATTTGAAAGAACATACCAAGGTGAAAGAGTGAATAATTCATTATGTGCAACATGTTCAGCCCCTCTGGCTAAATGCCCACTGGTAATTGGGACAACACCGTTCCACGTCTATTTAGCTCGATCTCTCCTGTTGCTATGCTACCAGAGGAAGCCTTGAGTGGGGCCTGTTTAGTGCTTGGAATGACAGCCATGTGGTTTTCATACCTGACACAAACCCTTTGTATCTCCACACTTCTCCTCTGCATAATAGCGTTGCCATTTGTTCCTAATGCGAGACACAGGGAAACAGTTTTACACCTGCATGTCTCAACTCATTCTCCTGTCTCAGTTTTTGCTTTGTTCTTGGCAAGCTGTTCTCAGCTTCATGTACATTTGGGTGTTTTATTTTCTTCTTCTTCTTGTAATTTTAATGTTAGCAGCAGCTCTCTTTCTGTTAAAAAAAAAAAAAAAAAAAGGTTTGCCATTATTATCCTGCTTGTGTTATAAGAGCTTTTTTTTTCCTCCCCTGCTGTATTTAACTAGGTCAATTAGAAACAACTCTGAATTTACAAAGATTGTTAAATTAAAGCAGAAAATCTGCTCTGAGACAAGAACTGGAGCGAACATGTTGCATGACTGAGCACAAGTCAGGACAAGCTGCCCTCTGCAGAATGCGGTTACGTTTTATTTCATTTTGATAGAGATTAGTTGTTTAATGCCACACAAAATAATATCTGAGCACTTCAGTAACTACCATTTGCCCATTCACCGATTAAACTGTGTGTTTTCTTTCGTTATTGTAGGAGTGAGCTCAGCCTTCCAACAAACCTCCCCCCTCTCGCTGGGCTAAGATGAGTATTACCAGTGACGAAGTGAATTTCTTGGTCTACAGATACCTCCAAGAGTCAGGTTTGTCTCATGAAAGTCTTGTTTACACAGCGAACAGTTTCTGCTGAAAACCTATTAATATATCTAATATTTCCATAGCAATGACCTGCAAGGCGTATATTCAGTAAAAAAAAAAAAAAGTGCTGTTATTAAGACACAGCACATAATCTGTTTACTGAGCATACTCTAAGAGATATTAGATAAGTGATTGAAATCCTTGCTGATGTTTAATTGGTGTTTACAGTGACTGAGACCAAGCAGTTGTGTGCAAATATGTTCACATGCTATCAGTGAAAAAGAAATGTATGAATTCAACACCAGGTCTTTTCAGGCCTCTTTTCTTTCCTAAATTACATAACATGTAAGTTCACATTTCTGTTCAGTTAACGTGTTTGTCCTTGAGTCTTTGTGCTGTGTGTTTATCTTGTGGGGTTTTTTTTTCTTCTTTTTTAGGTTTTACCCATTCAGCATTCACCTTTGGCATTGAGAGCCACATCAGTCAGTCGAACATCAATGGAACACTAGTGCCCCCTGCAGCCCTCATCTCCATCCTGCAGAAAGGGCTTCAGTACGTTGAGGCAGAAATCAGCATTAATGAGGTGAGTGCAGGGACCTGGAATGTAACAGAATGGAAATGTTTTGTATTTTCACGGTTATTGGAATTCAATAAAGGTCAATATTATCATGGTTTTGTGAACATTTATTGAAAATTGCGTACTAGCAGATTGCTGTTGGGAGCAATAGTGAAAGACTGGTCGTAGTCTTGTTTCCATAACTTAAACTTGTCATGTCTTATTTTCTATCAGTTATGTTACAGCTATATTACATACCCGTGACATTGTAAATGTCTCTGTGTGAGGTTGTCTTTAAATACAGATAAAGCGTGCATTTTCAAAATTTGTACTTGCATCAAATAAACAGATTTGCACAAAACGTGTGAGGAATATCACATTGTCCATCAACTACTGTGGGCAAAAATGTAACTTCTGCCTGCTGAGCATTAATTATGCACACAGGACAACAGAAAAATGTCTCTTCTCCTCCAGAGTAAATGAATATAGTATCGAATGTCCTTTTCTTCCTGACAGGATGGTACCGTCTTCGACGGTCGGCCGATCGAGTCCCTATCGCTTATCGATGCGGTGATGCCCGACGTGGTGCAGACGCGGCAGCAGGCCTTCCGTGACAAGCTCGCCCAGCAACACGCCACCTGCGCCGTCTCTGCTTCGACCTCAGGAAACCAGTCTAATGCACCAAAGAACGGAGAAGCCACCGTTAATGGAGAGGAGAACAACACTCACATGAGTAAGTCGAATCAAAGAATTAGGTGATTGGATGGTTCTGTGTGTACGCCAAACTGTGAAAGCCCATAAAGACTGAGGATTAAAAATTGCATCCTCATGTTATTTAGTCATCTGTTGTTTGTCCTAACAAAAATACGACAAACCTCTTAGCTTGTCATAGATCACCTTAATGATAAGTAGTTTCTGCTTAGTTCTTTTGTGAGGGAAACCAGATAGTTGGAGATCAGGTGGACAAGTGGAATAAGAAGATAATGTTTGGATCCCCTTGGAAATTAATTTGCAGGTGTTGATAGGAACACAACTGTGTTGTGACTAATGTTACACTTGTGGCCAGAAGAGGCTCCAGTGTCGTTCAGGGCTTTTAATTAGTTGTGTGAAGGATGGGATCGTTTTACAACACGCACCTTAACAGGTTTTACTGTGGATTTTTTTATTGTAATTCACTCAGGTCCAAAATTATACATGCATACATCACACACCTAACATTTCTTTAAACATTTGCTGTGAAACCACATGTTTTTTTTTTTGTTTTTTTTCAGCCATCAACAAACTTCTAGCTTAATTTTGATGAGATATTTGATCACTGTTATCAGAATTATCACTTTAAATGTTTCAGTTTGTCATCATCCTCTTGGGTTTAAAGCATTATCTACATACTGTCAACGGACCTCAGGTTGGAACTGTGAGGAATCTGTTTCAGAACCCCAATTCTGGCAATCGTGTCCAAGTTTCAACCATCTGACCCAAACTGTCACTGTCGTATACAAATGCACACGCTTTGATATTCAAGAAGAACCCATGAACCACTCAAAGCTAAAGCTTACCATAGACCTGAAGAAGTTGGAACAGCAGTGAAGCCAGTTGTTCCATAAATAAACATGCTTATCAGAAGCCTGAGATTTCAGTTTTAATATTGTTCTTTATTGATCTTAATATTCTGATTTTACAAGATGCTGAAATTTGAGTTTTCAAAAACTTTGAGCCATAATCAAAATGACAAAAATACATAACTTTTCCTCAATATTCTTAATTTTTTGAGATGCACCTTTTTATTTAGTGAAACTTCAAAATCTCAGTAATGGCTGCAGAAAGCATGTAGAAAAAATGATTCAAGTAAAGCACTAAAAGTATGTAAACTAATAATCCTGCTGGCAATGGGTGTATGTAAACTTCTGACTTAATCCTAGATTTTTGCAGTAGAGTTTTATTGATTAGTATATAATATTCTGATTAAGGCTCCAACAATTTATGCTGAAAATGTCCTCAAAAAGATGTTTACTTGCTTTTTTTTCTGTCAGTGTGTATGCTAAGGAAGCCATTGAGTTTATTACATAATTATATAATATATATTGATGAGATAATAAAAATTTGAAGTCCCTCGCTTTATGTATTCTTTTAACTTTAGCGATGGGACTTCAACTCAAACCAACCCTTACTTGGTGCTACCTCTCTTTTTTTCAAACAAATTTAGCACAATTGAGACTTTTTCACATTGTGACGGGTCTCTTTGGAGTTTCTATGCAAATTGAGTTCTATAGTACTATCGATCATAGTATATGTGTGTGTATCTGATCGCATTTTCTGCTCGCCTGGTCTTGCCAGATAACCACGGTGAGCCCATGGAGGTGGACGGGGACGTTGAGATACCAGCCAATAAGTCCACAGTTCTCCGAGGCCACGAGTCCGAAGTGTTCATCTGTGCCTGGAACCCTGTCAGTGACCTGCTGGCTTCAGGGTAAGCCAGCATATTTCTCCTGACGTGGATCCCGAGCGGAGCCGGGACAGATCAGTCCACAGTGGTGCATGCACTGCCTTGTGTTTATAAAATGCACATCTTACCGTTGAACTGTCTGGTGTGCGTGTGCGTGCGTGCGTGTCCTGTTCAGCTCGGGCGACTCCACGGCTCGGATCTGGAACCTGAACGAGAACAACAGCTCCAGCTCCACCCAGTTGGTTCTCCGCCACTGCATCCGAGAAGGCGGCCAGGATGTCCCCAGCAACAAAGACGTCACTTCACTGGACTGGAATGTAGGTTTCAGATCGGCTATCCTCATCGTCTCTCTCGCTTCCCTGCCATATGCTACACAGACGAGTTAACAGTTGTTTTCTGTCCGTCCAACAGAGCGAGGGGACCCTCCTGGCGACTGGCTCGTATGATGGATTTGCCAGGATATGGACAAAGGACGGTGCGTCCTCCATCACTGTTCTCTGGACTTTAGGTTTATTGGATCATTTTTGTGAACAATCCAGTTTCAGACATTTTAAAGGTACCTTTTATCCTGCAGGAAATCTGGCCAGCACCTTGGGGCAGCACAAAGGGCCCATATTTGCACTCAAATGGAACAAGAAGGGGAACTGTATTCTCAGTGCTGGCGTAGATAAGGTACTTTTAAAAATCCCACAGCAGCGGTTTGAGCTTTTTTAGCAATGAGAGCCTTCCAAAATTTGTGGTTCACTTCTGTTTTACATATACTCTGCTCTACAAATACTTACACAAAGTTGAGTTTAGATAATAAAACCCGATGCATTTTACGACTGCGCACATTTTTAAGTTTATAAACGGACATGGTTAGTCACTCAAGCCTGACATCCAACAATAAATATGTGTCGAGTTGGACAACAAGTCAATTTTCTGTCTAATTCTAAAGAATTTGTTGCTGTAGATTCCTCTCCCCCCCCTAACTTTCAAATTCGATCTTTACTTTTCCAGACGACAATCATTTGGGATGCAAACACAGGAGAAGCCAAGCAGCAGTTTCCTTTTCACTCAGGTCAGTGTGCTCAATTCAAAACATTAAAGTCTTTCCAACATAAATAATCCTAATCCATCTGAATATAGGAGTAGATTCAAGTATTTTAACTAAAATAAAAAAGCGTAGCCTTGGTACGCTCAGATTTGTATACAGAAATGCTATTTTATGTCAACATAACATTTAAAGTCAACAGTCTGACTTGTCCAGCAGACAGGTTTTGACACCCTTCACAAAAAAAGTCACAGCTTAAGTAGCTTGCTGTTATCCAAGCACATCACTGGGAAGCTAAGTGGAAGGACAAAGTGAGGCTAATGAAAGGGGGCACAAGCAGCAAGAATAACCACAGGCTTGGGGGAGATTGACAAGCAAACTCCACTGAAATGTCTGAGGGAGATTCACAAGGCGTGGTCTGCGGTTGGAGTCGGTGCTTTAAGAGTTAACCAAAGCAAACACTGAAACATTGCAGTTCCAGTGTCGTATACCTGAATTTAATTACTGAAAGAAACTAACTTTTCACCGATTTCACTCGGGTTTTATAGACATGTGCCTGTGGGCAAGATGCAAACTGTTTCGCACTCTGCCATGGTGTGAGATCACCAACATGCCAACCTCTAACGATTATGCTCGCAAATGCTTCACAGCCCCTGCGCTGGATGTCGACTGGCAGAACAACACCACGTTTGCCTCCTGCAGCACAGACATGTGCATCCACGTGTGTCGCCTCGGCAGCGACCGGCCTCTCAAGACCTTCCAGGGTCACTCGGTGAGCAGCGCTTCCCCGTGTTGCTTTCCTGACCTTATCTCCGTCTTTCCTAACGAGCATTTTGTTTCCCCCAGAACGAGGTCAACGCCATTAAGTGGGATCCATCGGGTATGCTGCTTGCCTCCTGCTCGGATGACATGACCTTAAAGGTAAGGTTTTCCCCACGTTAGTAGCTGCAGGCAACAAACGTGAGAGATGATTTGCATTCATATGTTGTTTGCCGTCACACACAGATCTGGAGTATGAAGCAGGAGTCCTGTGTCCACGACCTCCAAGCTCACAGTAAAGAAATCTACACAATCAAGTGGAGCCCCACCGGGCCGGGCACAAATAACCCAAACTCCAACATCATGCTTGCCAGGTAACAAAGAACACCTCCACATATACTGTACATATATATATTTTTTAAATTAATTTTATTTTGTAGGAGTTTAACATATTGAGGCTGTAGCACAATCTACAGCCTCTCTGCATTGGATTTATTAAATTGTCAGGAAAATTAAACGTCAAAGGCCCAAAAAAAAATCGAGGTGTTGTCTCTAGAAAAAAGAAGAAACTTTAATGCTGCTCTCAGACGTTTATTTTTTATTCTCTCCCCCACACAGTGCATCTTTTGACTCAACAGTGCGACTCTGGGACGTGGAGCGAGGGGCTTGTATACACACCCTGACCAAGCACCAGGAGCCTGTCTACAGCGTGGCCTTCAGCCCTGATGGCAAACACCTCGCCAGCGGCTCCTTCGACAAGTGCGTCCACATTTGGAACACCACGGTAAGTCAGAGTGTGGTAAGACGGCAGCTGAAACGAGTTTTTTTTTTTTTTTCTCAGACCGGTTTGCTCTTATTCGTGATGCTTCTGTTTCAGACTGGAGCCTTGGTCCACAGCTACAGGGGAACCGGTGGCATTTTTGAGGTGTGCTGGAACAGCACCGGAGATAAAGTTGGAGCCAGTGCATCAGATGGCTCGGTAAGCTTCGGTTTTATTTAAAGGTTGCGTGTCAATAAGTTTCAGTGTTATTGGAGCCTTAATTTGTCAGTAGTTCAATTCAAAAGTGAAACTGATGCAACATTCATTACACACCTGGATTTTGAATCACAAAGTTCATTTTTTAGTGTCAGAAAACGAATACATTGCCTGAGTGCAATACGGAGAAATGTTGTGTTTCTGCCTTTTTATGACCTACACACTTCTTTGTGGGGGGTTTGAACCGACAGCTGCCTAGCACACATTCACTAACACCCTCCACAAGAAGGTTAAACTCTAAAATGTAATTGCAAAAGTGGATTGCTTTATCTAAGTAAAATTAAAGGAACATTAATTGAAAGAAAAAAAGTGCAAGAAAAAGGTACAAAAATGTGATCAGGCATCACTAACTGTGGAAACTTTACATTTTATCTCCCAAGCTTGTTTTCTTCTACTCAACTTCCCATGAATATACTTGGAACTTACAGTCTCTCTGCTGGACAGCTGTCAACACTATATGTAGACTACAGCATGAACTTAACAATAGATTTATAGTTGTCTACTTTTCTAAAACGAACAAAAATAAATAAAATACTTGGTTTTTGTTAGCTGTGTCTCATAATCCTCAAAACTAATAATAATAATAAAAAAAACAAAAAAAAACAAGAATTTCATCACTGTGTATAACAAAATATCCTTTTAGGCACCCATCCAGGCTTTGGTTCGCTCTTTGCAAATAAAATATTTCCTCAACACCGTTTTCATTGTACCCGATTCTTCCCCCTATTCAGGTTTGTGTCCTCGATCTCCGAAAATAGCCCTCCTACTGGGACGACGAATCCCGGAAACCGCTGAGATTTACCTTCTTCGGACATCAGCAAACGCACTCTCCTCGCTCAAGAAGGGCTGTAAAGGTGGACTGAAATGACCCCCTCACAGGACCTTAACCAGACGGCAGCAGCAGCTCAAACACCAACTAAATTCGTTGCACCTTAATGTTTGTTGATGCGTGTTTTTTTTTTTCCGATGAGCCTGAGAGAGGATGGAAACTGGCTTAGGAAGCCCTCAACGTGGATCTGACTCCCTCCCGGGCGAATCCATATATTAAAAGGTTTCTAACGAGGACGTGCTGGGGCCCCTGCAGGCTGGGTGGAAACGCAAAGATGAGTCAAGTTTTCTGCAGAAAGAAGGGAAAATGAGAGACAGGTGTTTGGGCTGGGAGAAGCAACAAAATGCGAAGGGAAGGCGTTGGGGTAACAATTCCTTTTAGGAAATATAACTCTATGTCCAGATAATCGAGCAGGCAAGAAGGATGACGGTTACCGATTATCATCACTGCAATGCTGCCACTGACAGGTGACGGGGATGCCTGACTTCTCCTCTCGGAGGAGGAAGTTTCCACAGCACCCGTTGCTTGTTTGACATTATCCACAAGACGGGCGTTTGAGAGTCAGATTGAATGTGCCGTTACGAGGTAGATGCTAGTTCGTTTTTAACAGCAGGTCAACAAGAGGAAAACTTGCCAAGTAATCATCCTGATGCCCTAAAACGGCCTGTTCTCTCTTGAAATGAATAGATTTGCATTTTGTTTAAAAAAAGAAGAAAAAAAGAAAAAAAAAAAAAGATGTGAAAATTGTGGTTTACAAAGAGAATCTTTCTCCCTTTTTGGATGTAAATTTCAAGAATGTAAAGATGTGTAAATCAGATGAAAACACAGACTTATATACTGTGTATATATGTTTATATACAGTACACTTTATCAGGGGCTCTTCTTTATCGACGAGAGCCGTCGCATCTTCACTCTGTGACAACAAAGAGCATGTCGGCCTCTTTTATTACGGTCTTTCTCAACACGGTCAGATGTATACGACGACTTTCCTTTTTTAATGAGGTGGAAAATGATATGGTGAGATATATGAATTATCCTAATCTGTCTTCTGCTGTTTGCTGGTTGCCTTCAGAGGTTTTAACTTGTCCAAAATAAGGGAGGGAATAGTCACCAGTCTCCTTGGTTTGCTGATTCAGCTTATTTGACACCTTTCTGCCAATAAATCCAACTAGTTAGAGAATCGCCCTGACCTAAATGAGTTATGATGGCTTGATTGGCATCATCACAGTTCCTCAGTGGCACTTTAAAGCGAATTTATCAACTGACTATTTGGACAACATTTCCACCAGATATAGTCGAGTTCATGGGGGGGGAAAGAAAAAAAAAAAGAAAAGTCCTGCTGGAAACAAAACAGCCTTTTTATTATTGTTATTTTACACCTGGTTAAGTTTGGTCATTTGAAATTCCTGTGATGTGGATGGCGATTCAATACTCCAGAATATTCCTCTTCTTTTTGCCTTCTTGTTATTGATCTTTCACATTGTTAGCATTTTCTGCTACATTAACATGAAGTGCACTTTTTGTGATGGTGGATTCAGCAACTGCTTGGCTTTGGTTGAAAGTGCTCTGGTGTTTATTATTTTCTTTCTTTCATTTTAATGTCTTTAATGACTGGATTGTAAAAGGTGTTGCAAAGCTTTTTTTTTTTTTTTTTTTTTTTTTTTTTTTTTTTTTTTCTGAGAGCCATTATTGTCTGTGTCAGACTGAGAATGCTGTCTGTGGGGGGGAGTGATCATTACTGGCATGCCAAGAAGCCCCCCAAAAATTAGGGTGACAGCTATTTTCTCTCTCTCGTACCTTGATCAAGGGTGCTGCTGTCACCTGTTTCCAAGACAAAACTTTGAATTCATTCATTGTTTCAAATAAATTACTATATTTTGATATTTGACAGCATGCCTGTGTCCTTTTGTCTAACTTATGAACGTTGCAGTGCACACAAACACATTTTTGACATTTCACCTATGAGAACTGCTCTCCCCCTTCCCCCCTCAAGTTTCTTCAAATTGTTTCTGTCAGACCACTTGTGTAGTTTGTTCCCAGTTTCAAAATATGTATTTATACATATATTTATATTATTTTCATACTTTGTAGTTGGTTCTAAATAAACCTTGACCGTGGGAAATGTGCGGAAACTCGATGGGAAGGTCGAGGGTCCATCCTTCAGGTTGGTTTTCGATTTGTTTACAAACTAATATAATTAAATGTTCAGCTCTTCTACAATGCAGTCTTTCACAACCACTCATGGCAAGCAACAAATCTACAAGGTATTTAATACGATAGATTTGTGCAAAAATACAGACTCATGGTGTGAAATACAATAGCCTTTATAAAAATAAAAAAAAAACACTGAGAAGCTTAAAGAACTTGTAGTGTCTTGGCTTATTGATGGGATCCATTTTACAAGATCAGTGCACTGAACTGAGAGAATTTGCCCGTTGTGGGGAAGGGAAAAAAAAATAAAAAACCTCCCAGCACTAAAGGTCAATCTGTAACTAGATAACAAAACAAATGTCAGTTTGTTTTGCAAGTTTTACAGCTACAAGAAAAAAAAAAATAATAATACTGCTGGGGCTGTTCAGCTGATCGGCAAAAAAAATAAAAACCCTATAAATACTGCTGAAGGTTTAACATGTTCAGAGGTAAAAAAAAAAAAAAAAAGTCTTAAAAATAGAAAATGGAATCTATTGTGACAGAGCAGCTTTGTCAAAAGCAGTTGCCATCGTAACACTTTAAAACTACCAAGGTCTAACTTCTAAAGACTAACACAATGTAAAAGGGGAGGGAGTTGGAGTGTGGATGAGGCCAGCTAGTGTCTCACAGAGTTCTCCAAGGACTCTCCGTCAGCGTCTACGTCCCCTTGTAGCTCGCTGGAAATGTGGATTTCAACTGTACTAGACTCTGAACCTAGCAAGACAAAATAGGGGCAGATTACTCGTTGCTGCACATAACACTTAAAATGTATTACACAATATAAACCCTACATGAAACGTAGTTAAAATTCAAGTATTATTTTTTTATCTGTTACTGCATTGGATGTTCAGCGAATGAATGAAAACCATAAGTCCTTCAGATGAATAACTTTATTTTTTTAAAAGATATCAGAAGTGCTAGTGACAAGACAAGGCGCACACACAAGAACTGTAGTGTTGGAGTGAAAATAGCATTGTTTCCAGTAGATTCACACTTGCATACACTACAGTGGAAGTTCACAAGGCACGCCTATAGCAAAAACTGATGCAGTCCAATACAACAAACATGCCTGAATGTGGTAGGTAACAGTTTATACCACTTAAATGTCAGTCAGATTTTGCATCGCATCCTCCACTGGAGGGTTTTTTTCTTTCTTTCTTTTTTTTCTTTTAACCAATCAGAAAGTTAACAATACAAGCTTGACAAATATTTATCACACGATTGTTGCATTAGACCACATTAGTTCCAGAGATGGGAATTTTTTCCTGCTTATGTGCATATTTACCATTTTCCCCTTAACACCCATTGCTCTCTGCTAACCATCTGATTATCTGTAAATAATGATGCTTAACAAGCCTGAATGGAATGTCACAAAGTCACTGATCAAATTACACAATAAACAAACACGTCTCTCAGCTGTGTGTCCACATACCAGACAGACCGTTAATGTTTCATCCACTTCAGATCATTATTTACAGACAATCCATAAAATCCCCAAGGAGTGTAGTTTCACGCTACAGCTGCTCTACGTTGAGGTCAAAAATAGACGTTGCATAACAGAGGTCATCAACAACACTGATGATGTAAAAAAAGAAAATAAAATAAAAAATGTAACTACTGTCTTTTGTTCTGGTGAGGATCGCTAAAGTCTAACGAGGTCCATCCTCGTTCTCTAAGCGAGGATGTTTGCGGTAGAAGTGCGTGTTGTGAAGGTGCGTGCACACGATGCGCATCACCAGCCCTGATATACTGGCGAGCTGCTTGCGCCACTGGCAAGCCAATTACCTTCAGAGAGGACACTGATGGCGTCCGAGTGCTGCTGTCCGTTTCCTATCGTGTTCTTCTGCACTTCCTGAACGTGACTCTGGTACAGCAGAGTCGTTCCCACCACCGGGTTTTGTCCGGCCGCGTTCGGCCCCGAGGTGGAGCCCGAGTCCCAGGCCAGCTCCCTGCTCCGCTGCGGGTTGAGGTCCACGTCCCAACCCGTCCAGCCGTGGAAGGCCAGGGTGTTGAGGAAAGCCTGCATCGGGTTCAGAATGCCCTGAAAAGAAGTATGATGCAAAAGTGAATAAAAGTCATGAAATGGTCGTAGAAAAGGGTGAGCTATCTGCGTCTAGTCTTGCCATTCAACCAACCATGATGAACCATGTGGTGAGGGCTGCGTTCCTGATGTTTCTCAGACTGTTGTCGGTGATATTTGGCTGCATCTCCAGGTAGAAGAGAAGGCACTCATTGATGATATTTGGAGCCCAGCTAAAAAAAAAATAATAATAATAAAAATGCATCAACGTGAAAGAAAATCCAATCTTACAAAGAGACATTCGACATAAAACAAATTACCAACAAGGATTATGGAACGTGTTCTAATCAATTTAACAATTTTGCATCATTTAACTCTAAATACATCAGCAGGATTTTTTTTTTTTACAGCAAAAAGTATTTGTGAAAATGTGTAGTTTTTAACAATCATTAAAGCAGGAAAACAATATTTGGAAAGCAGAGGACTGTGCTGTGTTTAAACTTCTCTAGGAAGAGAAAAACACAGAGGTGGGAAAACACAGCGCACCGACGTTTGGTGACTTTTAGTTGCAAGTGGGCTTTGCTAGTTGTACCAGCTAATAATAACCACGCTAATACTGTAATTCTGCCCACTTGTACGCTTTAAAACCCTAAAGGAACATGATTACAAAGCAAGACTGTATCTTTGGGTCAATATAATGCGAGCTGCTGACAGAAAAACAAACTATTCACCCCTTCTATTTGGGGGAGTTGGATTTGGAATGTATGCTGTTGGAACTGAATGTGACTGGATAACTGGATTGGATTGAAATGAAATGAGCCGAAGTCAATTAACTCCGAACTGCAGCTGTTTCTATGTAACCGAAGAGGAACTGAAGCGTCTTCAAAAGATATTTGTTGTAATTTGGTGCTACTTACATAAACTGAGCAAAAGTTTGGGGAGGGGGAAATATTTGAAGACAACCGTACAATGTTCATTTAAACATACAGAGGAGAAAATCTGAGTGGAGCCGTAACTTGCCAAACAAAGAACACGAGCATTATTTTAAAGAAGCGGATTTTAATCTCGTTAGCCAGCCGTCTCTCATTTTCTGTGTAGATTCCTTGTCGTCCTTTCAATAAAGATGTCACTGCGGAGAGATCAGAAGGTCGCCTTTATTTTTGATTTTTCTTTTTTTTCTTGCAAACATGTTGCGATGCACTGCCACGTGTGCGAAATTGAATTGGCAGAGGTGAACCGACCTGCAGATACGGTCCGACTGAAGAACACGGGGTTGGCTATGAGGACGAGCAGCATGGGGGCGTATGTGGTGATGTAGTGGGGAACAGCGTGCTGGAGGCCTTGTTCGCAGCTGCACAAGGAGATGGAACATGATTTATTCAGCAGTGGGATAAATAATTCGTTTTGACAAGTTGCATTTAAGCTGCTTCCAGAATAATAACATGTTGTACACAGAAACACAAATTGAAAAACAAAATATCGATACAGAAAAAAAAATAAAAAATCTGAATAAAATGACTCCGGTGACATTCTGGTAAGAAGCAGTGGACAAAAACCACACATCAAATGCAGTAGAAATGCAATGTGCTATAGAAATATATATGATTCTAACTCAAGGCTGTACAGTCTAGTCAGTCAACAGTTGATTTGTTAAAAGAGGTAAAAACCATAATATTTATCCAATAATAAAAAAATTATACATATTATTTATAATAATCCACTAATTTGTCCCCAGAAATATTCCCTAAATGATGAGAGCGATTACAAATCGGCTATTTGAAATGAAGTGATGACGAACGGTCAAAAATATTACCTGGTTTCTAAAGAACTGCCTAAAAAAACTGAGATGCTCTTGATTTACAAGAATCTTGTTATTAGGGCAATAATCTAATCTAAAGAGGTAGGTGAGCCTAATTTCATTCAGGCCCCGTCAGATTTAGATTTAGAATTATTCCATTTCATCAGGCATCTCTCAAAGATAATAAAATAATGTAAGAAGAAAAGATCTTTTGGAAAAATCCCCAGTTTATCCCTGAGGCAACTGACCGTTTTTCAAAAAGGCTCCTTCAGAAATCCTGCATGAACGAGATTCTACACCAGTTTTATTTTGGGAAGAAGAAGAAAAATCTGGTTTTATTTACTTTTTATTGGAAAACGGCATGCCACAATGTTTTTTCTTTTTTTTTTTTTCCTGTTCCTCAACATTCAGTAGAAAAATATTTATTGACATTTCGGGAATTCACTTTTTTCTGTAATTACTGAGCAGAATTGTGCATTCTTCCACCGATGATTTATCTTTTGCGACGAACATCAAGTTTTGCGAGGTTGGAAGACCTTCTTGCCGTCACCCTAAATTTTAGCTCCATTTTTAGATCCTATGATGTCAGCCACTAAAAAAAAAAAAAAAACATCCCCAGTAAGATTTAAATCTGTTTAAACTCTGATCAACTGGAGAAATCCAATAAAACCAGAGCTGTGAAATCTTTCCCTTATGCTGCCATCAGAATGTCACTGCCGTCATTTTATGCAAAAGCAGTTTGTGTGGAAAAAAAAAAAAAAAAGATTAGGAAAAAAAACATCCTGGATCATCAATAACTTTATTGTTCTCCAGGATAGAAAGATTGTTTGATAAACGATTCTCATGGCTTTCAGCTGCGACACTGAAAGGGGATTTTGATTTACCTTCAGGAAAACAGAAAAGTATCTTACTCAGAGATGGATGGGTAGTAGAGCATGGCCACTCCTTCAACACACAGCAGCACAGCCAGACCCCACGTAATCATGTGGTAGAGGACAATGGTGCTGATGGGGGGGGGGAGAGAAAGTCATGAGACTCGGACTCACAGCAGCACAAGCTACAGATCTGTTTCTTGTGGATGGTATTTTGTTTTTCCTCTCTTCTCAAAAAAAAAGAAACAAACATGCCACTTTGACAGGAAGAGTAGAGGAACATGAACAGCTATTATTGTGTCATCAAACAACTCCTCACTCTGAGCCAGGAGTGAGAAAAAGGGACCAAAAAAAAAAAAGCATCTTACACATAGAGCTGAAACTAAATGGGTTCTTCTCAGTTTTGGATTTTTTTTTTTTTTTCGCGTCATCCTGTCTTCTACAGGAGGAAGGTTTGAGGTAACAGTGAACTGCGGAGGAGGAGAAGCGAAGCTCAAAAGAACCTGATCCCAGCGGAGGTTTTCACCACCAGAAAGACGTCCACGGCGTAGCAGAAGGTCCACCAAAACGAAGCGCTGAAGAAGAGCTGGATCCACATCTGCAGCACAATGAAATGGATGATTACCAGCAAAATTTGTGGTTTACAAAACCACAAAATCTGTTGTATTTGGTGGCAACTAGCCATGAACCAAGTAGGCCTGAGCACGCCAATGTTTAAAAAAGGTACTGATAAACCTGCCCTTCATAAAGGTTATGAGGTTTAGTCTGCTTTTTTCACACAACACTGCCCCACCCCCACTTGTTGCTTACGCATTTTTTTCCCCCCCGTTGTGCCCAAGAGAGAAATATTTGGTTGTTTGGAAACACTTCCCATTCTGGACATTTAGACATTCTCTGCCTGGAAGCTAAAACAGAACAGCAGATGCTGTCAAGCTAACACTGCTAGCATGTCTGCTACACAGCTGACTGCTGGATGGCCACCAGTGCAGATCGACCAAACAATTAACCACCTCCGATTTGAATTTTCATCTAAGTGCTCCTCTCCAGCTCCCGTCAGACTTTAGATCTAGCCGAACAAATTTCCACAGGTGGAGTCCCAGTGTCTCACAAACGTGAGTGTTTTTATAACCTTGACCAATTGATCATGTTATTTGGTTCATTTAGAAAATGAAAAACAATCCACCATTGGCCAGATCTTGAAATATAAAGTTTAAACTAATCTTTTATTGAGTGGAATGATTTCAGTTTTATATCTTTGAATGTGAAAATCGCAGCATAAAGAAACGACTCTTGCCTTGTGAGATAGTTTTAGAGAGGCTACTGAGTCGAAATGAATTGCTTTACGAAAACAAGTACAATGCATTTTTTTCAACCGGCTGTATCGTAATAGGACAGACGCTCTCGCTTCTCAGTTCTTGACTGGTTAATCGTCCCTCGGCTGATTAACCAGTCCTGGTCCTGGTATCTTTTTCTCTCCACTCTGAGATTAAAGTGGATATTAGGAGTCAAAATTGGGTTCAAAGCCTCTTCCTTTAGGCATTCAAGAGAACCTCATAAGCTCCTGGTAATTCTTATAATTAATACTTTTAATCCAAAGTTGAAACTTCCCCTTTTAATTGGTGTGTAAAGTCGTGTTGGTGTGATATCTTTGTTTTTTTAAAATTACTATTTAGTCATCAGAGAATTTTTTTTGGTAAATTTATCCTGAATATAATAACATAATATTTTTGTACCATTGGTTACTAGCAATTTTTTTTCTAAATCTGACGCTCTCTTGTTTTTAAATAAATTATAATGTTGATAAAAATACAGAAATCTCATACACAACAGAGAGTTCTCATCAGAACGCCAAGAATTCACCCTGCTGATTGATTCTGATAGATTACACTGTCCTGTACATTTTGTGTTAATGCTTTAAAACGGTGATGTGTTCACTCGAGATAATCACGCCATAAGAGTCTCATGGAAGCCGGAGTCTGTTCAAAGTTACAATCCGAGACGCAATTTTCTCCCATTTACTTAATTTACTTACTGAGCTCTGATTCGATTCGAGCAAATGACCTCCCGTGACATCTACATTTTCCAGAATCATGCGTGATTATAAAAAGAAAAAAAAACAAAAAAACAAACAAAAACCCTCCCTTGTAATCTTTCAAGCATAAACCAAAGACAAGACGTGTGGCTTCCAGTGTAACCGAGCTGCTTGACCACATTAAATTGTTTAAAGGAGCATCTTTTACACTTACTGCGCTGCCAACACAGAAGGCCTCTGGCAACACGTCCGTGTTGTTGGTCACCGAGATGCCTTCGACGATGCTCGGCAGACCCAGCCACACAGAGGACCTGACGATGATCCCTGAAACAGAGAGAGTCACATTGAATCTTAAACTGGAGGAGGAAAGAGGAGTAAACACAAAGGGCCCATGTGGAAATTACCTGGCTTTAATTAGCGTTTCAACACGTGTTTGCTTTTCTTAGCTGTTTTGGTTTACTGCTTGGATTAATTACTGTCAGTCAGGGAGTCCTTTTAATAGCAGCTTAACATCATGGAAATATGAGCTTTCTAGCGGATGTATTTTATTGGGGGTGTTTCCATTTCCTTCGCAAAACTGGAAAAAAATAAAAAAAATAAGGAGGTCTCCTGGAACTTCCACGCAACGCAGAAGGCACGCGGCTCCATGTTTCGTCTGTGTGCCGCTCTAATTCCACAGCGGTGACTGGATCTCGCCGGACGTGGAAACACATGACTTCACCTGCTCGTCTTCTTGCCAGGAAAAGTGATGGATGAGCAGTTCAGGTGTCAGAGAGCTGTGCTTCCTCTGCATGCTGAGCAACAGCTTGGACCAAAGACATAAAGGTCGGAGTCTCCTGGTGTGATAAGCTTTAGTAAAAGTCAAGGTATTAGCACCTATATTTGAAATCCTAAATGATTCCAGGATAGGGCCGTATTTAAAAAAAATAAATAAATAAATAAAATCAAGTATAATTAATCATTTTATTGCTCACATGAGAGAATGATGACTTTTGCATGAAAGCATTGGATTGAGAGCTTCTTTTTTTTCCCCCTGTCCAGGAAGCCTAAAAAATTGATTCTTACACGCATTTTTGTGCTGAAAAGAAATCTAAAATAACATGGATGCTTAGGTTGGAATTGGGCTTAATTTGGTTAAAAAATTTTAAATTTCCTGTATCTCTAAATACAGTTAATTTTATCCAGGATTTCACCAGGTTTGGTAATAATAAATAGGCAAAACCACATGAGGGATTTGATCTCAAGATCCAGCATGAATGACTAGTTGTGTACGTCCCTAACTTTCTGATACAGACTCACAGTTTGCAGTCCGGATCAGTCCTGGTCACAAAATTCAAGGACAGACATGGCACCGAAATGAAAGCAGTGTCAGCCGTCACTTTTATAAAAGTAAAGCTACGTTAAGCAGCAAACTCCAGACCAGCAAGCAGAGCAGATGATCCAGCTTATTAACTAGCCAATATCAACTAAAGAGAAGAATGGACAGAAATGGTCATATTTGAGAAAATACAGTTAAATATATTTTGGCTAAGTCTTCGTTAAAAAGCAATACATAAAATCTGTAATAAAATTGCAGCAAAAATGTTTTTTTTTTTTTAAATATATATTTGCGACTGAACACGATTTGCTGTTTAGAAGCTCATGACTCGTGTCTTTATAAAGCAAAAAGAAAATTTGATTTGGAAAGAAAATGTATAAATATCTAGGATGGAATTGGTCAAAATTTGCCAGTCTTCATTGCTCCCTCTTTATTTACAAGTTAAATTTAAATTGCCTCTTCATTTTGTCAACATTTCCAAAGGGATTCTGGTGAAACACAGCATTAACTTTAACTGTTTTATTTATGTATCTTTTTTTTTTTTCTGCTGGGTTTTGCAATCTGCAGCTCCTCAGCCACTCTGCAGGGACTCGCCGTAAATCTGACCTCATGGAAATCTAATAATGTTTATATCTATGATGGCAATAGGAAAGCCGAGTTTTACTGCTTTTCCAGCTTCATCCAATATGTGAATGGAGTTTCCACAACAGGTACTCATAATACAGAGGGAGCAGCAGGTGGGTTTGGCTGCCTGTAAAAGAAATGATTAACAGACGTATATAAACTACTACAAAAACACGGAGTTCACAGCCTCTGCAGCACTAAGTGAGAGAATATTTCATTTTTACAACTGCCGATCAGAGATACGGGTTCAGGATCAGATTATTTATTCCTGAAGGAAGTAATATCGTTACACTCGCTCAGTTTTAAATGCACGTTGGAAACACATTTCCATCCTCCTTGGCAGGCAGCGTACCCTAAGTGTGAAATCCAACAGAAATCTAAACATTTTGAACGTATTAGTGGCAAATCCCTGTTGTTAAAAAAAAAAAAAAAAAAAACCACAAAAAAAAAAGCTGTGACTCATTCAAAGAGCATCTACAGCAATAAACACTGGTATATTATGTTATACCAGATCGGTTAGCTGTCTACCCTACACGGCCTGTGGCAAATGGAATGTTATTATATATAGTATTAATTTTTAACAAATGTTGCCAAATTGTCTCCAGAGGAAAGAATAGTCTTTGCTGATTTAACACATTGAAATGGTGTCAGAACGCATTTATGTTGAGTTTATTTGCAGCTTTTATAATTTTTACAAGCATGGCAAGATTATTATTATTATTATTATTATTACTATTATTTCTCAAAAGGTTCTCATCTTACACTTTTTTAGTTGATTTTTTGGATTTTAAGCAGACTAGATTTCTTCCAAATTCAGAAATGAAGAACAAACAACAAACAAATAGAAACCATTTTATTTGATCATTGTTTCAGAATATAAAATGTAAACATATAAGCCACTTTACTGGTTTGTTATCAAAAAGGATGATGAGCCCGAGTTTACACTTGGTTTGGAATCCTCTTAATACCTAAATAAAATGTTCTTAAATGAAACCAATCTCTAATTGCTTCATGTTCTGAAATCCTGCACATCTTAATTTGTGTATGTATATCCGGAGAGGGGGATTTTCAAAATCAAAGTCTTAAAAACCGCTTTATCCATTTTAAATTCTTTACTTAACAAGTGTGCTCTTAAGAAAATGTATTGGAAACTCAAACATGTAGGTAGTACAGCGCTTTTGAAGTATTTGGACGAAACAGCGCCCACTACTGGCATATATGATGGTTGACAAATATGGTACCAATTTTGGAATAAATATATTTTTTGTACATAAAAAAATATATACTTTGCTGCAAACAAATATTTTCTACATATTTCTTTTAAAATAATAAAAAGAGGCAAAAAATCTAACTTCCTAAAAGTATATAATTTACTCCATCGGTTTTTGACCAATCAAAAAAACAAACAAACAAACAAAAAATAAAAAAAAAAAAACCCAGCGGATTTAATTACAATTTTTCTTTTGTTCTATTGTTGTTTTTCTTTTCTTTCATTCTTTTTTTGCTCAGATTATTTTCGATGGACTAGCGACCTGTTTCCCTCCTCTCTCCTGTTGATTGCCCAGTTTTTCCATAGCTTATTTCTGATGAGGAAAAATTTAAAGTAAATATCCTCAGACCCTCTAGATTGTGACTAATTAGTCACAATTTCAACTTAATTATAAGGGTAATATACAAAAGTTTTCAAATGCTCTTTTTTTTTTGTGTGTTGAGCAACAAAGGGGTTAAAAGAAACTATTCATGTGCGTAATCAAACCCAGAACCACGCTGTGAAAAAAACAAAAAACAAACAAAAAAAAACAGCTCATTCACCACCACCCCCTTTTTTTCTTTGACTAAAAAAGGAGAAAAAAGATATGAAGAAAACCAAACTAAATCGGCTGCTTTTGATGATTGATTTGTTTACCTGTGCATCCCAGTATGTCACATATACTGACGATGAACAATACTCTGGAGGAGGAGGCGGGCCTCGGCAGAGGGTACTGTCCCAGTCTCCTGTATCCTTTGCGCTTCGGCAGAACCTGCAGAACAGCGAACACGAGGCTCAGAGCGGCGCTGCCCAGACTCAGAGCCCCGAACAGGACGGGCTGGAAGGAGACTGCGAACTCCGTGGCAGCGTCCCGGTTCGGGCAGCAGAACGTCTCCAGCCGCGGGGAAGCCATCAGGGACTGCGGGGCGATGCAGGGGAGGAGAAGGAGGGAGAGGAGAAGACGGTGTTCGGAGGAGGAGGAAGAAGAAGGAGAAGAAGAAGAAGGGGAAAGGAAAAGAAAAAGGAAATGACTGAGTCCATGAGGCAGCTCTCCTCGACAAATCACGGGGTTGAATCATCATGTGCTTCTGTTTAATCCCTGAACTTGTAGCTTAAGTCTGCCGCACAATGCAAGGCGCCGACAAAAGGGCTGTTGTATGAAAGAGACTGATTATGTCAGCCGGCAGAAGCAGACTTAAAGCGTTTTTTTTTATTCTTTGTTTCCCCCCCCCCCCCCCCACCCCTGCTCTCCACGTTCACACTAATGTAGGGGGGAAAAAGGTCAAATAATAACATCAAACTTCAAATGGAGTAAAGCTGTCGCAAAAGTGAAACCCAACTTTATCAGTGCACGCATTAAAAACATAAATAAGTCACAAGAATCTGCACAGCGTCCTTTAAATTATGAATTTTCTCCAGGCGGCTGCACTTTGACTGGGCCATTCTAACATGTGATCTAAACAGTTTGGTTGTATTCACAGCTGAATGTTTAGTGCCAACCTGCTGAAAGGTAAACACGGCTCAGACCAAAAATCTCAAGTCTTTAGTTCGTCCCCTCCCTTTTAAAGTAAAGGCATCTTCCCGGCATGATACTGCCACCACCATGTTTCAGTGGTCATGTGCCAGGGTATGACCTCATGTTGTATTATACCAGATCAGTTTGCTGTGTACCCTACATGGCTTGTGGGGCATCTGATTATTTGTACTTCATGCTCAGGTTGTCACTTTAAGTGGATGACCGTTGATTAGTAGATCTGCAGCTGTGCTAAACACTCCTCCTATCATCAGATGAGGACTTGAACATTGCTCCTGAAAATGTTCTAGTTTATATTTTATAACGATTCGATTAAATTACACACAAATGCACTCTCTAACAATTAAGTGAGTTCTAATTTAAGTACAATTAGAGTTAAAAGAGCTGAATGTGATGACACATTTTTTTTTAGAGGATTTTAAGATGAAAACCTTGTATTGTTTAGTGGACATAAATACTTTATTGGGAAGACGTACATTTTAACCGAATGCCTTCCTCACCTAAGCTTCATAAAGGCTCATGTATTCTGTATCGTCTTGTAGTGTTTGGCTAAATAAAGCATGCCTGGTATCTGACAACTGTACATTTCAAGCCCAGACATGCGCCTGCATCACTTCCTGTTAGGAACTGAATGGTTTTTTTTGTTAATACACTCTAAAAACTGCTGGGTTAAAAACAATTAAGGTTCCAGATCTAGGCGGATTTAACACAAAAAGTTTGGTTTATGGGTCTGACGCAGCATACCGAGTTAGATTAAAGAAATATTTGGTCATATTTCTGACCCAATATTTGCAATAAGACAGGATGGGATGTGGTCACTATCATTCCAATTGAGTAACAACAAGAATTATGCAATTTGGCTCAGTAAAACATACAATTAAATACAGAATTTAATAGTTAGATGTAAACTATAATTAAAAGAAAAAAAAAACTCTATATATGTAGCCAATCAGTTTCTCTGCCTTCCTCTCTGGGGTTGGGAAGCTGCTGAACCATGCAGTAAGTCAGTGCACTCTCAATGGAGTGTGGTAAAAGGCTAAAAGCAGCTTTTGTGGAACATGTTTTTCTTTTTTTTTTCCATGAAGACCCTCAGGAAGTAAAGTCTATACTCTTTGTTTTTCTGCAGCTGCTTGGTTTTTCTTCCCCCGCCCTCCCCCCTCCCT